GTGCAACAAGAGCTAATGCATAATACACTTCCTTTATTTCTCTTTCTACCCCCCCACGTTAACTACCACCATTTACTGGAAGGACCGTATCTTATAATTATTTCACTCATCAACAATATTTAAAATTAGTCTAAAATTTCATAAAGTCTACTCACAAGTGAGAAAACAAACTGGATGCCAATTGAGACATTTTCATTTATATAACTAATTTCCTACATTTCATCAACAAAGACTCCAACACCATGAAAGACTAAGCATAAACTTATTTTAAGAACTGTAAGTTCTTGTTTTAGTAGTAACATCTTCTGCAATTTTTCTTGTCCCTGCCTCCACTGCTGGTACATACAGTTCTGCCAAGAAATTAGTATATACAGTTCAGCAGAGAAGCTGATCACATTTCACATGTACATAAAAACTAGAATTGAATCTTGGCTCCCAAACTTTTATGAGCTGAGCAACTTTGGGAAACCAGTTTCTCAGAACTTTTGCAGTCCCTTAGGGTCTGTAAGGATAATTAATGAACTTTTATTTGAGTTTTTCCTCCTTAAGCTGGCCACTTAACATCACACCTTTATTTGAATATAAAAATATCAAGCCCTGATGTTAATTGAAAAAATATATTGAATATCATAGCTAAAAATAAGTCCAAATTCCTCCGCCCTTATTACCAGCAGAAATCACTGCTTTAGTCTGATGACCTACTGAATCACTCTGTGATGACAACTCTAGACTGTGTGGTAGATTTGGATGGCGCATTCTTGCTTCCATACATTGAAGAAAATAAGGACTTAGAAATATGTAATTGGACCAAAGGTAGACTCTCCCACTACACTAAAATAAGGAACTTTGATTAAGCAAACACCATTACTTATTCCCAGATTAGAACAAGAGGCACCATTCAGAATACTTCCAGAGGTTGCAGAAAAATGCAAATTGGAAGACTCAAGTTCTTATCCCTATTCTGCTGCTAGACAATGTTGGCAAAGCTATACAATTGATTCTGCCTAAGAAATAAAAACATTCTCCTTCTTAAATTACTCTAAGGGCTTCTGCAAGCCTAGGAATCTGATAGACCTACAAACTCACTCCAAGTCTTGCAAAAGAATGCATGTTACCCAAAGAAGCAATATTATGAGTAATGGCTGCTTTTTGCTTCTCTAATTCTCCAAAAAGGCCTAGTTTATCCATCATATAACTGACCTTTGTTTCTATGGGGAAGTGCTTCTGAATTTCAATACAAAAAGTTGAATTTCCTGCTCTACAAGTCTATTGAAATGTTAAAATAAGCCTTGATTTTTCTTTAAGTTTTTGGAAAAATTAAGAATGCCAGAGTCAAGTTACAAAGCATCATACAACCAAACACAAAAATAAGAGATTAAAATCTTAACATAGAATTTTACATCACACAGGATACTACAGATGATCTGGAATAATCCTGTATTTTTAATATTAATCCTATATAGAAGATTTTTTTTTACAGCTTTCTTTTGGGGGTTAATCTCTGTAATTTCTTACACCAAAGCCACTTCGTTAAATAGTTCTGATTACTAAGGAATTCTGAAACATTTCATTCACATATTCCCATGGATACATATCATGAATTTGAACACATGCCCCAGCATTTACTAGCTGAGCACTTTGGGTAGAAACTGAATAGCCTACAGTTGCTGAGTTTGCATTATGTATTTTAAAACCAAACAAGTCTCCAGGGATTCTTTTATCTAAGTTCCTTCCATGGAAACAGTAAGATGTTAAAACTTAGGTACCTACACTTCAGTATTTTCACAGATGGAGTGTACATTTCCACTACATTCCTCTTGTGGGGAGGAAGAGTGTCTTAGTCACCATTTTAGCTGCAGTAACTGAACTATCTCTGTATTTAACAAGCATTTATCAGAATTAAAGTAAAAATGTTCATAAAATCTATGTGAGGTGGAAAGAGCTCTGTCTCCAGCACAGGCACTTGCTCTCACATATAGAACCTTGCACAAACTCAAGTGAATCCTGCTGAACCTTTGTTTCCCTTTAAAAGCCTACACCATAAGGCAGAAATGCCTCTTTCATCTGATCTAACCAGAATACTGCAAATAAGGCTCTGAGTAACAAAAAAGTTTCTCCCAAAGTCTATGCATGCACTTTATTTTTAGTAGAGACCTACTGATTCTCAATTTAAGTATATGTCTAATAAACTTGGCTATTTGGTTATGAAATATTCCCACTGCTGATTAAAAGCAGTAAAACAGATAAGATGCTGAAAGAAAGAGAAAATGGAGAATGCTAAAGGTTCCTCTTCTTGAAGCATGGAATAGAAGCAAACCTTTCTAAAAGGCAGACCAGACTCAATCGAAAATTCATCTGTGGTCTAATATCCCAGGACACTGGACATTGCAGTAGTCTCCACCTTTTATCCCCAAAGTAAACTCAACCCGTGATTAATTAATTCTCTTTTTACTTATGGTAAAACAGTGAATGCTGAGTAAATACTTCATTCTGATGGTACTTGTAGCCATCCTTCTCATCACCTTGGAAGAAATGATAAGCCCTCTTTTTATGGTTCATTTTCCTTACTCAAATAATCTACTCATTAACTGCTCCTACTTTATTTTTTCACTTCATAACATTAATGAAATCACAAAGGAAAGGTCACTTAATTTTTAACAGAATTGGAGTTACTTAAGACACATTTTACATACAGAAGAAAAATGGATTGTTTTGCAGAATTTTATCTCCAGTAAAGTTAAAATGCTTTCTAGAAATACAATGTTATCTGCCAGCTACAGGTACTCAAGCCCCTTCAAGGCAGTGACCACTTTACCAACTCTGATGTCTAAAGCATGTGACAGAGCCAGGCAAGGTAGCTGCATGGTAGTGCTCACCTGTGGTCCCAGCACTAAGAGACTTAAGGCAGGAGGATGGAGAGTTCCAGGCCAGCCTGGGCTACACAGGGATGAAGGGAAGCCATGAGAGTACCATAGCCATCAGAATATTAAATACTCTTGAGGGTGTCTTGAAGGACTTTCATATGTCACTAATGGAAATCCAAATGTATATGTCTTTTGGAAAGTTAAATAAAACAAGATTCCTCAGAATCTTAAATTCTGGTATATCTATTAGATATATAATAAACACTTTTTATACAATATCAAAAAATATCAGGATAGGGAATAGTATACCTGGGTAGCATAGCACTTTCTTAGCATGCATGAGGCTCTGGGTTTGATCCCCAGCACCACACAAAATAATCAGCATAAAAATTGTATATAAAATGTGATTTCAACTATTCTTTTTAAACTATGTGTTGGAGGGGCTGGATGCAGGGTCTCCTGCCTGTAATCCCAGCTACTTGGGAGGCAGAGATCAGGAGGATAATTGTTCAAGACCAGCTGAGGCAAAAAGTTAGAAAGATCCCATCTCAATCAAAAAGTGGGCCAGAGTGGTACATGTCTTCAATCCAGGTTCTTGGGAGGTGGTAGGCAGGATTGTAATCTGAGGCTCACTTGCGCAAAAAACACCAAGACCCTAGCTGAAAAATAAAAAAAAAAGAGGGCTGGGAGCATGACGTAAGTGGTAGAGCATCTGCCTAGCAAATGTCAGGCAGAGTTCAAACTCCAGTACTGTTAAAAAAAAAAAAAAAAAAAAGACACCACCACCACCACCACCAAAACCCCAAGGAAAGTATGTGTTGGAAAATGTATGGAAAGAAATGCACCCAAAAAATGTTAGCAGCATTTGTGTTTGGTAGTAACATTATGGCTGACTTCTTTTCTCCATATACTAAGTTTTACTTAAAGAGTATGCACTTGTTTTACAGTGAAACAATAAAACAGGGAAGAAGGAAGCATGGCTGGGTGAGGGGAAGAGAGTGAGAGAGGAACACTGCTTAGAGGAGGTAAGGAAATAGTATAATTAGAGTAATTGTTACCATTTAGTAAGTGCTGTAATTAAGCTTTTAACCTAACAAGAAACTTTCTGGGTGATCACAAATAATAACTAAATCGTAGGATATTTGTGCTAGAGGGGCATCTTCCCTAATTTCGTCACCTGACAGGCGTAAAAAAGAATTATGATTGTATGATACTTTACAAAGTGCTTTCAAACTCACACCACCTGTCTTTCAAAACACCTGTTTGTAGGCCCATTCTAAGGATCAAGAAACTGAGGCTTCGATACTATATTTTAATGATAATGCCCATCATTTATCGAATGCTTACTATGCGCTAACAGCTGGGTTAAGCACAAGCCTGTGACAACCACCTTCATTTTACAGATAGGAGACTTGGAAGCCACAGGTTAAGTGACTTGCCCACAACCATACAGCTAAGAGTCACTGCTCACGTTTAAAGCCATATATTTAAGACAGAAGCCTTGAGTTATACACAATTCAACTACACAGACGCCTTAGTTGCAGAATGGGCGTAGGACCAAGTTCACTGTCACAACTCCTTGACTGTAAGTGACTCTGGGGGCTGGAGGTGCATCTCAGCCGTACAGCGCGTGCTGAGCATGCACAAGACACCGCACCAAAAAGGAGGGAAAACAATTACTTAGTTTGACAGCTATGCTGAGGGTCCAGAAGCAAAAGCACTAGGCCCAGTACCCCACAACTAATGTGGCGGTGAGCCTGTGCCTCGGGAGCAAGGCAAGGCTGAAGCTAAGGAAGTGGAGGGCCGGCCACCAAGCCCAACACACATCAGAGCTCTCCAGGAGTTCAGAGGACACAAAATCTGCCCTGAGCAGCAGGGACAATGTCAACAATTCCAGCACCTCACACCCAGGACCGGAGCACAACTTCCAAGGCACTTCGGGTTTGTCCCTGTGGACTCTCGCACCAACCCGCGGGCAAAGCTGGCGGCAAGGTGGGTTTAAGATCTGGAGGCGGACCCCGAAGACCCGGGCACCTCCGCCAGGGCCCGTGAGGGGACTAGGCCAGAGAGTCCAGGGCCTGGGCCTCCCTCCGAGCTTGGGCCCTTGGAGGTCATCCCAGGCACCTCGCTACTCACATTGAACCAACCGGTCCCCGGTGAAGGTGGAGGAGCAGCTGGTAACCAGCGCGCAAGGGACGCCCGCAGCCATAGCTGCACCGGAGACCCGGTTCGGTCAGGAGCTGCTTCCGCCTTGGGCTGCACCACTGCGGCCGGCGCGCGGGGGAGACACGTAGGGAAGAGCGCACTCTCAGAAGCTGCCAATACCATGCTCACCCCCTTCCGCTCCCGGAGTGGAGCCTGCCAATGGCGCGCGCTGTTGCCATGGCGACGAGCTTCCGTTCTCCCAAGAGTTTTCTACACTTGGAGGCCGGGGAGGTGATCTTCCCGGCCTTCACCTCCCCGGCCTTAAGCATGGCGCAGGGGGCTGATGGCTACGACCCCATCGGATCCATCTTAATCCAGGTGGGAAACGGTCCTCCCCTGGCCCTGCCCAGCTGCGCTGGCTCACCATCCGTGCACCCATTCGGGGTGTCGCCCCGACCCGCCTCCAGAGTGCGTGGACGTCCTTAAAACGCCCACCCAGACCTGTCCCGCCGGCCAAATCCGCGTCCTGTGCAAGTTGTGCCTCGGAGCAATACCGGTCCGCCTCTGGTGGAGACGTAACTTCAGGAAAATCCATTTTACACTAAGGCACAATGTGAAAATGTATTCTGACCGTTTTGAGCCGAGATTTGGGAGAGTGGCAGCGAGGCAAATCAGATATATGGGGAGGTGAAAAGAAATTTGGGGAAATTGAAATGTATGAACTGCTTTTCTTAGCGCGCCATTTTTTTTTAATGCTCTCTTAGGAACATACACAAAAATATAAAGATAACTTGGATTGCAAATCAAGTTAACGTTCAAATATAGAAATGTGACCCATTAAAAAAACTGAAGAAAATAAGTCTTCCTAATCCGAGGGAGAAAAATATCCAGAAAGGTTTTGACTTCCCCAGCATAACTCAGATTCTAACAGTTACACTCAGATTTTTATGAAATGGTTAGGACGTTTTTTTTTTTCACAAGTAAATAAGACAGCTTGTAATTTTCTTTTTTTTTTTTTGGCGGTATGAGATTTGAACTCAAGAACCCTACGTTTTATAGGCGGGTGCTCTACCTCTTGAGCCACTCCGCCAGCCCATTGAAGTAATTTTTGAAGGTCACTCTATCAGGACTTCCACTCAGTGGGTCTGAAATGGGAGTCATTTTTTTTTCCTTTTTCTTATATTATTCATATGTGCATACAAGGCTTGGTTCATTTCTCCCCCCTGCCCCCACCCCCTCCCTTACCACCCACTCCGCCCCCTCCCTCTCCCCCCCCTCAATACCCAGCAGAAACTATTTTGCCCTTATTTCTAATTTTGTTGTAGAGAGAGTATAAGCAATAATAGGAAGGAACAAGGGTTTTTGCTGGTTGAGATAAGGATAGCTATACAGGGCATTGACTCACATTGATTTCCTGTGCGTGGGTGTTACCTTCTAGGTTAATTCTTTTTGATCTAACCTTTTCTCTAGTACCTGTTCCCCTTTTCCTATTGGCCTCAGTTGCTTTAAGGTATCTGCTTTAGTTTCTCTGCATTAAGGGCAACAAATGCTAGCTAGTTTTTTAGGTGTCTTACCTATCCTCACCCCTCCCTTGTGTGCTCTCGCTTTTATCGTGTGCTCATAGTCCAATCCCCTTGTGATACCACATTTTCTTAATCCATTCGTCAGTGGTGGGGCATCTTGGCTGTTTCCATAACTTGGCTATTGTGAATAGTGCCGCAATAAACATGGGTGTGCAGGTGCCTCTGGAGTAACAGTCTTTTGGGTATATCCCCAAGAGTGGTATTACTGGATCAAATGGTAGATCGATGTCTAGCTTTTTAAGTACCCTCCAAATTTTTTTCCAGAGTGGTTGTACTAGTTTACATTCCCACCAACAGTGTAAGAGGGTTCCTTCCCCCCCCCCCTCGCCAACACCTGTTGGTGGTGGTGTTGCTGATGATGGCTATTCTAACAGGGGTGAGGTGGAATCTTAGTGTGGTTTTAATTTGCATTTCTTTTATTGCTAGAGATGGTGAGCATTTTTTCATGTGTTTTCTGGCCATTTGAATTTCTTCTTTTGAGAAAGTTCTGTTTAGTTCACTTGCCCTGAAATGGGAGTCATTTTTAAAGGGATCGGATTTTTCTTTGTCAGAATTTTGATCTCTTACCTCCTCTTAGAAGCTTTGCTAAAGTCACCTTTTCCAAAATACAAGCCCCTACACTCACCATTTTCATAGACTTTCCTTTCCCATTATGAACTGTACCTAAAATCTTACCTCACCTCTTATCATCTTCTCTTTCAACATTACCCTGCAATGAGCTTAGCCAAAATGTAAAGTCAGAGGAAACAATCCCCATAAGACTGCCCTCACTTAAATGCCAGCTAGCTACCAACTTACGGTTCCATGACCACATTCATATTTGATAGCTCAAGACAAATATGCAAAACTCAGGGAAGTGCCATGCTGTGGTTGTGGTTTTATTATAGTGAAAACAAAATCTTACAAGGGAAGAGGTCCGTAGGGCAGAGTCCATCCACACATGTTGCTTCTGGTCACCCTGTAGTTATTAGATGCCATCACCTCCTCCCAGTCACAATGTGTGAGAGTATGTTCAGAGTATTGCCAACTAGGGGACCTTACCTGAGCCTTTGGTGTCCGGAATTGGGGCTCAGTCTCACAAGGCTGTCATGGCTGACATTGAGTCTGCAGTCCCTCCTGGAAATCAGACTAATGCATTTAGTCTTCTGTTCCTCCAGAGGTCACAACTGATGGCAGATGGCTCAAATCCCCCATCGTAAATCATGTTGTTTCTCTGGTGGCTAAAGCATCTAGACAAAGACACATCTATCAGGTAGGAAATTCAGAGACCTAGAGATCACTTCTCAGTAGCCAAGAGCAAAGGCCAAGACTCTCTTTGGGTAATGTTAAGTTTTCACTACACATATCCCTCTTTTTATAGACCCTAAGTAATTAGAACACTAGTGGAGACTCCTCCCTAGAAACAGCCTGTTCCACCCCTCAGAAACCTTATGTTGATTATAGAAGCAAACCTGGACCACCTCTTTAAAAAAAAAAGTGGAATCTGGGGAGAATTCTGACACCCATTTTCATACTTTCCCTTGAGATAATTCCATATCCAAGAGCCATTCTCATGGTTTGGAATAGTGTTAAAAACAAAACAAAACAAAACAAAAAAACCTGAGGATTTCAGTGTAAAATCCAGGGAAAGCTGTTTGGCCAAACCTAGGGTACAACGTTAGAGTAAAAGATACCTGTTGCTGGTGGAGTGGCTCAAGTGGTAGAGCACCTGCCTAGCAAGAGTGAGGTCCTGAGTTAAAACCCAAGTACTTCCAAAAAAAAAAAAAAAAAAGATACCTGTTGATGTTGCATTGTGAAAATGGGGCAGAAGAGCTAAGAATAGTCATCTGTTTGATCGGTGCCTTCTTGTTTACAAGGATTTCTCCAGACACCCTAACTGGAGGGGTGGGTGCCTCCATGGTAACCTGATTTTGAAGCTGATTTCTGTGTAGGGTAAAATTCTCTGCAGTAGAATCTGCATAATGAGGAAATGTGGAAGCCCCCCACCCTACTTTCCCAGTGAATCCTGAGTGTGAGCAGGCAGCACCACTCTTGACACTTGCCAACATGAAATCCACTTCTACTAGGGACTGTGATTATTTCCTTCAAACAGGCTATCAATAATGAGTACAGACAGTAGGAAGCAAACTAAGTTAGGAGTCAGAATACTTAGGTCTGACCATGACTTTGACATTTGCCCAGGCAAGTACCTTTGAGCTAGTCACTTCATCTCCCTAGACCACAGGTTCCTCTTCTATAGAATACATGGCTTGGATTAGATTCATTTCTGACTCTAAATTGACCCATTTTCCCCAAAGCTACATGATTCCTCTTTACTATAAAAGTAAACTTTCTTTTCTGTTAGGCAAGGCAATCAGGTTTGTGTGTTTGTGTGTAACTGACCATAAAGCAGAAGTACTTTATATCTCTTATTTCACTGTAATATCACATGTTAGGTCCATAACTCAATCAGACACATTAAGCCACGCTTTAGACCAGTGGCTGTCAGTGTGGTACATCAGCAGCACCACCTGGGAAATGCAAATTAACAGGCTCAAACTCTAGGGTGGGACCAGCAATCAGTGTTTACAAATCCTTCAGAGAATTCTGATGTCTCCTCAAATTCAAGAAGCATTACTTTATAGTATTGTAAACATAAACTTTAAGATGATTTCAAAGAAAACTCACAACGAGCAAATAAATGTAACATTCCGGTTTCATACACCATTCCAGGTGCTGTGCATACTTATTTAGCCTTGCAACACAGCTATCAGACAAGTACAGTATTATTTTCTTCATGTTATGGAAAGGAAACCGACCAAAGATGAGTATTACGGATAGGTCCATAGTGCTGGAAAATGCAAGTGTGATTTCAAACCTTTTAGTTCATCATTCCTGTTATAAAATAAGTCCCCCCTTGCTTCCTTTTATCCCTGTAGATAGATAAATCCTTCCTTTTCCACTGAATTTTTACCAACCTTGAGCTTTGTGTATTTAAAGATACACACGTTTGAATATTTGTGTGTAGCAAGCATGTTCTAGTTAATAGTTAAGCATGAAGGCTCTGAAGTCAGAATGCTTGGATTTTCATAGTTTCACCAATTAATCATTTGTGTTATCTTGCAGAGGTTACTAAATCCCCTTAATCTTTAAATTCCCTCAAGTATAGAATGAAGACAATAATCTTAGCCCCCTCATAGGAATCTTGTAAAGATTAAAATACAGGATCACATATAAAGTATAATAATCAATGTTATTAAATCTGGTCTGGTCTATTAATATTATTTAGTTTAAGGTACATTTTTTTTTTTTTTTTTTTAGTGGCACTAGGGTTTGAACTCAGGGCCTCATTCTTTCTAGGCAGGTGCTCTTTTGTGATGGGTATCTTTGAGATATGGTCTCATGAACTATTTGCTTCAAACCACGATCCCCTGATCTCTGCCTCCTGAGTAGCTAGGATTATAGGCGTGAGCCACCGGCTCCCATAATTTGTACTTTACTAAATAATAAATAGAATGGACCAACATTTAGCATTATGTAG